GTAAGCCTAAGAGAGGAGAGCAAAGGGGGCCATCGGTTGCCATGGCTACCCTGAGCCAAGAGAGGAGTCCCACCCTGATCCACAACTTGCTCCAGGGAGGAGAAGTCGTCAATGAGGGACCTTCTTCTCGACCAATACCTTGGAGAAGTCGCCGATCAGCTCACGCTGGTCTTGGTCCAAGATGTTGGCAATCTCCAAGGGACAGCAAGAACGGGAGCGCACCAGCCGAGGCGTCTAGAAGAACGGGACACAGGGACATCAGAGGTCCACCCAGCCCAAGGTGGTCCTCCACGTTGGAAGCCCGAAAGGGGTTCTTGAGACCTTCCCGTAGGTTGACCCGTGCTCCCAGGAGACCCCCGTTGGACAGCTCTCTCTGGTGCCCCCTCAAAGCATCCTCTTCAGTGGCCTATTAAGGGTGGCCCAACCACACGACGGAGATGGCCAGAAAAAGGACGCCATCCTAAGCCATTCCACTAAATCCAGCTGCAAAGGATTTGGAGATCTTTTAGCACGATCCTCCTGCAGGCAGAACTGGGGCCCTGAACGCGATGGCCTCCCCACGTTCTCTTTGGGAAGCCTTCCTGCCCCCCACTCAAAGCTGCCAATTTGCCTCCCTCCCTGGAGTCTGTGCGTCCCTGCTGGGAATCCCATCAGAAAAGAGCTGGAAGGGACCTTAGAGGTCTTCTAGTCCAACCCCCTGTTGAAGCAGGAGACCCACACCATTTCAGGCAGGGGGCTCTCCAGTCTTTTCTTGAAAACCTCCAGCGTTGAAGTACCCACAACTTCTGGTGGCAAGCTGTTCCGCTGGTTAATTGTCCTCACTCTTAAGAAGTTTCTCCTCAATTCCAGGTTGCTTCTCTCTTTGATTAGTTTCCAGCCATGGCTTCTTCTCCTGCCCTCAGGTGCTTTGGAAAATAGGTTGACCCCCTCTTTTTTGGGGGGGCAGCCCTCCAAATACTGGAAGGCTGCTATCATGTCTCCCCTAGTCCTTCCTCTCTCTAATAAACCCAAGGAGGCAGCAGCAGCGGTGTCAACTCATAAAATATTTCTGTTAGGAATAACCTAGGTTACCTAACGTAGTTTGGGTAAAATAATATATATAAACTATGATTGTAAGTTTAAGTGTGTGTCACTTTAAACTGCAAAGCATGTAATTTTGGGTGCGGTGTGAAACCGCCATAAGTGGGAGCAAGAGAACCTGACGATTGCTGGTTTGATGGATTGATGGTTTGCTAACTGCGTGTTCCCTACTGCTGAGTTTTTGAACGTCGAAGGAAGAAAGGAGGTTTGACTTCTTCATATCTCTACTGCGAGGAGATATATTACTGGACTGATATTTGTAAGTTTACTGACCTCTTTTTCGACACTGGACTTTGCAACTGAATAATCCCCGGAAGGACTGAACTAGTGAATGATAGATATATGGACTGTTTTGATTATGCTAAAACTCTTACTGGAATAAACTATTTAACTAGCACAGTGTATCTGTTTTACTGAGTGTAAGCTATAAAAACGTTAACCCACATATTTTGCCTGACTGCCGTGCAGATTCTGCTAGGGTGTATCCCTAACAGGGATGGGTATGGTCTTTTTAGAATTGCCAATAGAAAGTGGGGGGATGAGGAGCAGTGCAGCCGCTTGCAAACCGAAACTGCATTCCATAAAGGTTTTCAAAGATAGTAACTAGGTGACTGAAGTTTCTGCTGTGCAAAATTCTAACTGGAGAGCATGATTGATGACTCTTGGCTATGGAGGTGTCCCATTGGAGAATACAGATTACGATACACCCAGGGGGTGGGGGAAAACCTGGGTCAAGGGTGACAAGGAATGATGTGTCTCAGAGTCGGCTGCACCCAGGCAATGCTGGCATGTTAACTCCCCAATAAATCCTTTTGAAGTTTAGGGAGTCTGGCTCGAGACTCGTGATTTAAACGGGGGTAATTGCCGGAATCCTGAACAAGTGGCTATTGCGGGGCTCAGGTCCTGGGGTTTGCGGTAGGTACAACAAAGGAGCCCCACCCCCCACCCCTTACCGGTTCTTCCGGCTTCTCCACAATGGCGTTGCCGTTAAGGCTCTTCCGCCGCTTGGTGTTTACGGGGGTGTCTTTCTCCTGGGCCCGGTCCAGCCGCTTCAGGATGGGCCGGATGACACTGCTTGGCATAGAGGGAGACCGGAAGAGGCGTTGGCACCTGGACCTCACCTGCACAAAGGAGGAAAAACAGATGAAATGGAGGGCTCCGGTAGATGATGGAGAAAAAAAGAAGAGGAGGAGGAGGAGGAGGACTTCGCGCGTGCACCTAACACGCATACCACTTTCCAAACACCAGCTGAGGCTCTGCCCCGCCAATCAGTTGAGAGGATAAAGAACAGAAAAGCGCAGGGACGAGTGGGAGGGCTGATCCTGTACTTTTCTTTTCTTTCTACTCTCAGCTGATCGTCGGAGCTTTTTTTATTACCAGTTCTGCTGAACCAATAGCATTTCACCACTGTGGACCACCCAAGACAGGGCAGCAAGAAATGCGTGACACCCAACCCCACAATGTCGCAGGACCCACCTGCTCAAACTAGGCAAGAAAAAACAAAAGGACACATATAGACCGGGTGAAACCAGGCTCAATAGCAGGAACTGGGAGAGGGATCTTGGAGTCTGAGTGGACAACCAGCTAAATAGGAGCCAGCCGTGTGCAGCAGCGGCCCAAAAAGCCAATGCAATCCTAGGTTGCATTAACAGAGGAATACAATCAAGATCAAGGGAGGTACTAATACCACTCTATAAAGCCTTAGTAAGACCACACCTAGAGTACTGCATCCAGTTTTGGTCACCATACTATAAAAAAAGATGTTGAGACTCTAGAAAAAGTACAGAGAAGAGCAACCAGGATGATGAAGGGACTGGAGGCTAAAACATGTAAGAACGGTTACAGGATTTGGGCCTGGCTAGTCTAGTGAAGAGAAGAACCAGGGGAGACAGAATAGCATCTTCGAATATTTGAGGGGCTGCCACAGAGAGGAGGAAGGGGTCAAGCTATTTTCTAAAGCACCCGAAAGCCAGACAAGGAATAATGGATGGAAACTGAACAAGGAGAGATTTAATCTGGAAATAAGGAGAAACTTTCTGACAGGGGGAACAAACCACCCATGGAACAGAAGTGGCCTTTGGAAGTTGTGGGAGAGTCATCACTTGAGACTTTCAAGAAGAGAATGGACTCCCATCTTTCAGAAATGGTGTAGGGTCTTTCACTTGGGTGGAGGGTTGGACTAGATGACCTAAGGTCCCTTCCAACCCTGACAATCTGTTATCTGTTCAATTCGCATCAGGAAACTGTTCTTCCGCGCACCCTCCTTCCACAACAGCCAAAGGACCTTACACACCTGACCGGGTTCAACATTTGTTTTCACCAGGGGCGCCGTCAGCAGGTTCTCCATGCCTGAAGGGAGGTCACCATCACCCTAGAAGAGGAAAGACAGGGAAATCGTGCCAGAGGGAGGACAATGGGATGGACACAGCAGCCAAGGGGGACCGTGTCTCTTCATTCCCACACCATCTCTTGCTTGCAACGGGCGAGTAGAGTCCATCCTTTCCCGGATGTTTACCAGCACATTCAAAAAAAATAAAAAAAAATAGGCACTCCTCGACTTAACAACTGTGAGAAGAGAACTAGGCCCTAAAGTTGGTGTAGGCCTCTGTTTAATTGAAGGCCTCAAATTAACAATATATAATAACGCCGGCTGAGCTGATTTCTCCAGCGTGGCAAAATATTTGCAATCTGCTGAGCTGAATTTGCAGGAACAGCAATCTCTGCTTGCTGTCTGCTACTTCTGCAAACAGCATCTATTTGCTGGAGAATCAAAAATAAGAGCTATTTCGGATCGCGAATGCCTGGGACATTGAGAAAAAGGGGAACTGAAAGTAGCAGATGATAAGCGAGTTGGCATATACCCACAAGTCGGTATTAAGCGATGGACAGTATGAGGGAATAGGGAAGTACTTCCAGTAAGATTATATACTAGGTGGGTGGCATTGCCCTTGTGGGAATCTGATTCTGAGGGGGAGATTGAGCAGCTGACAGGGAATGGGAGTGTGGCTCCAGTGGCTGTGGGAGATACAGGGGAAGGGCACAATCCGGCTGGGCATTCAGAGGAAGACCCAGGGCCAACCCCTCTTCATCCTAGGGTATGCAGAGAGGAATGGAGAAGGGAGCAACATGGCTTACAGGAGAGAAAAGGGCCCTGATCCCTTTCATTAATTGCAGCTGGGAGATCAGGATATAAAAAGGGCATTTGCACACAACACCTTGCTGGAAGCAAAGTGTGTATTATCTTTGTCGAGGCTTATCTGGGTTTTGGCATCCTCTCAACTGTGTGTGCTTCCTTATCTTTTGGAAGTCTGCCATTTTTTATCCTGGCCTGTCATGTTAATTACTTCAGCATGGTTTGTGTTGTTGTTTTTTAAAATTTATCTGTACTTTGGGTTGGACTGCATTTCTTCCCTTTGTAGACTGTTTCTGGAAAAGTTTGATCTCCAGCTGAGGATAACTGGATATTGGGGGCCAAGCTGGAGCTATTAAAGGGACTTTACCTATTTCTGTGGCTTTGTTGCTTTTGTGTCATGCCGTGGGTCATCACAGTGAGCTTCCGAGGAAGAAGGGTATAAAAGAAGGGGGTAAATCTCAAATCAGGGCCACTGTGATGACCCAGAATGGGATACAAAATAAACACAGTCACAGAAAACAGGTGAAGCCCCTTTTATTCCTTCACTTTGCTTCCAAGCTCCAAATATCCTTGACTGGAAACAAAAAACTCCCACACGAGCAGTCACAAGAAGGAGGGAAAAAAACAACAACCACAAACCAGGCAAGATAAGGGCTTGAAGACATCCACAGATATCAGAACACACACTGGGAAGGACGCCAAACTCAGAGAGGAACGATAAACTAGAGATATTTCCATGCTTTGTTTCCAGCGCTTGCCCATACGCATGTCTGTCCTCTTATCCAGTTGTCACAGCTGCAGCCCACAGAGGATCAAGGCCCTCTCCTCCCCCATAGATCACATCTCTCCCTTATCCTCTCCTCCCTGCATGCCCTAGGATGGAGAGGGGATGGGCCTGGGTCCTCCTCTGACTGCCCAGCCGGCCTCTGCCCTTCCCCAGTTTCCTCCACAACCTCTGGAGCCTCACTTCCACTCCCTGTCGGCTGTTCCTCCTCTCCAACAGAGTCAGTCTCCACCAAGGGCATGACAGCCACTGATAATAGCTATCGTTTCTGGAGTTGGCTACGGTCTCTGGACCTCATAGCAACGGGTTATTGATATAAGTTGTGTTGTGATGGCTTTTCCTGTTCCAAATTGCTCGTGAAATAAAACTCTGATCTCCAAGTAAAGAGCTATTGCCTATGGTTTGCCTGTGTATTTCCTTTCCTGAATCATTTTTATAACGCAACTGTTCATTTAGTGACCGCTCTAAGTTACAACAGCCCTGAAAAAAGGGACTTGTGACCCATTTCCCACAGTTACAACCGAAGCAGCATCTCAGCGGTCACGTGATCGAAGCTGCTCGGCAACCAACCCCTTTTATGACGGCTACAGTACCCCAGGGTCAGGGTGATCCCATTCAGGTCAGCAAAGGGGGAAGCCGGATTCACTAAGCCACCTCACTTAGTGACGGGACGGTCCAAAGGTCCCAAGTATGGTTGCTTCCTGGTATATTTCAAGAGCCAGCCAATGTCCAGACAACGCCGCCTCACCTGCCGTAACCCCAAACAGGTGCCCTCCTGAGCAGAACCCTTACCTTCAGATCCTCTTCGCTGAGGACTTCCAGAAACCCATCATCGTCTTCATCGTTCATGAAGGACGTCAAGGAGGAACGGCGGAGGTAGATCGGGCTCTCGGGATGGACGTTCTCCTTCTCAGGGCTGCAGAACTGAAGAGCAAGGATCCGTAAGGAGGGCACCCTGGGCTTTCGTTGTCTATTTCCCAGGCACTCACGTTGTCCTGAGAATGGCTCAACTGGAGCTATCCAACGGGGCGCCCGCCATCTCCCGCTGGCTGAGAAATCAAGGTGATTCAGCCCAGAGCTGCAGCCAAGCCACGTTCCAGGGAGTCCCAAAGGCGCTTTTTTTTTTTTTCTTCAAAAGGCAACGGGACTTCCTTTGTTTTTGCTTGAGGAGGTTTCGCTTCTTATCCCAGAAGCTTCTTCCGTTCTGACTGAATGGACCATTCGGACAGAACTAAAGAAGCTTTTGGGATGAGAAGTGAAATGTCTTCAAGGAAAAAAAAAGGGAGGGAAGTCCCGTTGCCTTTTGAAAAAAACACCTTGGGGACAACCGTGACCTGGATGACGGAGAGTCTCGGTAGATCAGTGGTCGCCAACCAGTGGGCCAGGGACCACTGGTGGTCCACGAGAAAATTTTGGTGGTCCAGAGAAAAATGTCACCCCCAAAGCAATTATTCCAGGCTGCGTGGGAACACAAGGCTGCACCACACACATGGCCTGGGGGAATACAAGGCATGCGTCACTTGCATTGCGAACAACACGAGGTAGTGAGGGGAGGGGGGAAAGGGCGGATGAGGGGGAACTTGCGCCACGTGCCCCACGTGCCTCGCCTGGCCACCGGGCTGCTTCTTTCTGCTTCTGCTTTTGGCTGCACGGAAGGAAAGCAGCAAAAATCTTTCTTTCTCTCCCCCAAACTCTGCCAGAAATGAGTCTTTGGGACCCTGCAAGGCCTCCTGCTCCAAGAGGCTGTGCCGGCGTGACAAGACTCACAAAGACTCATTTCTGGCAGAGTTTGGGGAAAAGAAAGACTTCTGCGGCTTCTGCTGCTTTCCTTGCATGAAGCCAAAAGTCTCTCTCTCTCTCTCTCTCTCTCCACCCCCCCCAGAACGAAGCTGGAGACGGTATCCTGCGATCCCAAATAAAGAATGATCAATCAACAGGAAAAACGGGGTGGGGGATTTTCCTGAAGAACCGGCCAATCCCACCTCTGACTGGCCCCGCCAACCCCATCTCTTCTCTGTCTCCCATTGAGTCCCAGCTGATTGGCTGGGTCTCCTTTGGTTGCCCTGCACAGGAGAACGGAGCTGGAAAGCAGGTTAGTGGGGAGGGAAGGGAAGGGGGATTTCGCAGTATATCCTTCCCCTGCCACGCCCACCAAGCCACGCCTGCACCCAAAACCCACTCCATCTTTGAAGCCTGCACTTACCATCAGCTGTGGGGCAGAATTTGGTCTCTGGGCGAAGGGAGCCCTCTCTCCCTGCCCCCCGGAGGATCTGCTGGTAGGTCGGGAGGGCTTTTTAAAAATGGCCCCTTCCTGCAGAAAAGAGAAAAAGGTAAGCCGGCTGGAAGTTTAGGAAGCCAGGAAATGGAGGTAAGAGGAGGGAGGTGGGAGGGAAGGTACGAGGGAGAGGGAGGGAGGGAGGAAGAGAGGGAGGGAGGGAGGGAGGGAAGAGAAAGGAAGGAAGGAAGGAAGGAGAGAGAGAAAAAGAGAGAGAGAGAGAGAGAGAGAGAGAGAGAGAGAGAGAAAGAAAGAAAGAAAGAAAGAAAGAAAGAAAGAAAGAAAGAAAGAAAGAAAGAAAGAAAGAAAGAAAGATAAGAAGGAAGGGGAGGGAGGGAGGGAGGGAGGGAAGGAAGGAAGGAAGGAAGGA